TTATCCGATATTTGAGATTAAGATTGTGCAAATCATGCAATACAAAATTTTACTACTGTGAAAACAATTATTAAATCTTTGAGAACCATACTGAAAATGTTGATGGGTTTTAGGCCGAATGGTTCACTAGGCGGAATGGGCCAGTTGGCCGAAATTTGTATAATTGTTGTTTTTTTCGTCTTACGACATCTTCCAAGTAGCAATTTGGGTTTTATGAGGGTTCTGATGACCACTTGTAGAACACTTTAAAACCACGATAAAACTTAAAATGTTACTTGGGCTGCGTTGTTCCAATTTGAGGACAAACTTGATGGAGTCAAAATATGGCTGACATGACGATGGACTTGCACTGTCACTTCCAATCTTGCAAGTCCCATTCATCTGGTTCTTGCTGGATCTGATCAGTCTCGAAGTAGGGGCTACGAATGGTATGAGGAGCTTGGTGGCCTTAGAGTGACCGCTATTGCTAACTGAGCATGAAATTATGGGTTCTATTCCACTTTGTATCGAAGAGTTTTAGAGTCACGTTGCTTGCACGTTGTTTGATTTTTTTTGACACTTCAAGATCATCAATTGAAAAGGCCTTAACATCTTTATTAAGCTAAGTTTCTTGCGGCTTTTTCTCGTGAATCAGAGCAGTTTGATTTACAAAAGCTGATGAGGCCTATTCTATAATTTTTTTATTTTATTTTATTAAACCTTATTAAACCACCATCTTTGACATTTTAGCCATACAGACTGTTTAAAGTGACTTAATCCTATTCTTAAAAACTGGTCTACTTATATTAAAATCAAAAACATCACACACATCATTAAACAGTCTGCAACATCTATCGAGAGGATTGTTATTACCGTAAGCAGTACGATGTCCGGGAGTCCACAGAAAGTAATAGTTGCGGAGACTGCGAACTGGAGTTTGAAAATTGATGTTCCCGAGCGAACAACTGCAGTCAATATGATTACTAATCATGTCAAATATGAACATCCTCTGGAGAAAGACTCGCCGATTTGTTAGTGATTGCAGTCCAATAAGCGCACATCTATGCTCGTACGGAGGTAAGCTATCTGGATTTGTCCATGGCAGACGTCGTAATGCAAACTTTGTAAACTGTTTCTGGATTCTCTTGATGCGCAGTACATTAACAGCATGATATGGAGCCCAAATTTGTACTCCATATTCAAGAACACTGCGGACCATAGAGCAGTACAGCGCTTTCAGGGCGTACACGTCGTCGAATTGTGCAGTATTGCGGCGCTAAAATCCTAGCATGGAGTTGACCTTTGCAACTGTCATGGATATGTGCTCGTTAAACTGTAGTTTGCTGTTCAAGATGAGCCCAAGATCCTTAATGGCATTAACCCTTTCCAGCGGCGATTGATTCATAGAGTAATCAAAAATGATCGGAGAGTGAGAGCGGGTAAGGGTAATCACTTTGCATTTGGCAGCATTGGCTTGCATTCCATTCATCTGACACCAGGATGACAATCGCTCTATATCAGCTTGTAGTGCGCAACAATCCACGACCGATTTGATCACACGGTACAGCTTAAGATCATCCGCATATAGCAACTTGCAGGAACTTAGCATATCACACACGTCGTTAATAAACAGAACGAAAATGAGAGGTCCTAGGTGACTCCCTTGTGGAACCCCCGATGGTATATGGAATACCTAGGATCTGGAATCACGTACCTTGACGAAAGCCTTCCTGGATGATAAGTATGATTTCAACCAACAAACGACCCACGGTGGAAAACCAAGGCGGCTTAGCTTCATAATGGCTAGGTAGTGAGGGACTTTGTCAAAAGCCTTAGAGAAGTCGATGTAAACGGAGTCCACTTGCTGACGCTTCTCGATGCTACCTATAAGAGTGTTCGTGTAAGTCATCAAGTTAGAGACTGTCGAGCGCTATTTCATGAATCCATGCTGAAACTCTGAGATTATGGGTTGAACAGGCATCCGGAAAAACGCCATTCTTAAGCGATCGATTGAAAATAGACATAACGGGAGTGGCCAACGATGCTGCACAGTTCTTGACGAAAGACGGTGGAATATGGTCCGGGCCTGGACCTTTCGATGGATCGACTGAGCAAAGGGCTTTGAGAATAGCATCTTGACTGAAGATGAGCTGCTGCAGGTGAATGTCGTATCTTGGTAGCTGATCAATGTATTGCTGCGGTGGAGGAGTTTGATCGGGTTCGAAAACACTTCGGAAAAAGTCAGCGAAAACGTCAGCAGAAGCGATATCGGTGGTGGAGCTTCTAGTACCGTAGGTGACGTCCACGGAAATACCAGCTGATCTTTTCCGAGAGTTGATAAAAGACCAGAACGACGATGGATTTTTCTTGAAACCCCTCTGGAGGTTGTCGACGTACTCACGAAAGCGAGCTTCCTGAAAACTATTATACTCTGCTTCTACTAGCTGTACCGTATACTTGTTTGCTGCGGTCCGGGAACGAAAGTAACGAGCTTTGCGCAGACGGTTACGCAGATTACGCAATTGCGGATTCCACCAAGGTTGTTGGAATTGCAAACAAGATTTCCGTGTCTTCACCGGGACAGTATCTTGGATTACTTTATAGATGTTGTCGTAGAATACGGAGACGGCGGCATCAATGGTGGGTTGGTCAAGTATTTGTACCCAATCCAAGGCGGCAATCCTCGTGTTAACAACATCGAAATCACATTGTGCAAAATTATACTCACTGCGGGCTGCTGGGTACGGGAGCGGATGATCTCTCGAACGGGAGTCAACTTTTAGAACCAACGGCTTGTGGTGACAATCAACTTTCATAATGGCAGAGGTGGTTCAAACAGCTGGATGCAATCGGAGTCACTGACGAGAACCAGGTCAAGAAGCTTACCATTCGTGTTCACCAGATCGTTGATTTGCTTCAATCCAGCAGACAGTATGGACTCCAATACAGCGAGTTCCTGTTCTGATTAAGCATTGAGAGGCAGAAATCCTCTGACGTCCTCATCGAATTCCCAAGCTAGATTTGGCAGATTGTAATCACCCACAACTATGGTTGTATCGTGAGGGTTCGCCATACCAAGGAGCTGTTGTACGGAGTCAGCGTGTTTGGTGTAAATGTCGGGCTGACTGTTTGGTCGAATATAGATGCAGCACAGGAAGATCGATTGGTGTTGTAAATCGACTTGAACAGGAATTTGTTCGAGGCTCTCAGCGCCCACAAGATGTACAGCCTTACACTTCAGCTCGGATTTTACGGCGACGCCGGGTTTGAATGGTTACAACAACAAGGCCTTAATAAGGCCAAGCAGAAGGTTGCAAGATTAACCCAAGTAACCAACAAGTCCGCTAATTTGTCTTTTTTTCAATATAAGGCTGATACACGGCTAACATAGGGCATGCTGAGCTTTATATTAGCCCCATATTGGACTTATATTGCAAATTGCGAATTAGCGGGCTTGTTGATTACTTAGGAATCTCAGGTCTCTTTCAATTTAAGAGTCGTTAGTTGCATTACTTCATAATATGGCGGCATTTCAACTCAGCATACCTTTTACCAGAATGAATTCTGCTGCAAACCTGACCCTTAAATCCAACTTTCCAGTGATTTCTCGTGGAAGTTCAGAGGATTTCTTGGCTTCCATCAAAGTTATTATCACGTCAACATATCCTTACCCATTCTTCAATTCATTAATTTTGTCGAGCAGTTTTGTGAAAATGTGGTTACAAATGGCTGAACTTTCAATTTGAACTTTTAGTAACCCTATGGGCATCACAAACGCGTGTTTCTAGTAGCCTTAATTGCTGTTGTTGTTTTGATTCTGCGTTCCGTTTCACAACGTTCCATTCCACTTTACTCCATTCCTTGCGCTAAATGACGTGCAGATTAGCGGGGTTTTAAGTGGATAAAAAACTACAAGAGACAGCCCTATGGGGTTGTACGCAATGGTGACGTATGACTATGACTGCACTACTTATATTATAAATCTTATTTGATAACTGCAGCAGGAGCTTGTGTTTTGTGTAGGAATAGGAATTTTAGCGGGGTTCTCTCTGTTTATATTCATTAGTATGACGTGCTTGACATAGATGACCCACAGCGACTGACGAAGAGCTACTGATTCCGATCAATAGTGGTGCGGCTTCTTCCTCCTTTGGATGCTTATGAGGGCGGCAGGTAGCATTTCGTTTCGAATCAATACCGTTTGGTGAGACCGGATGAAATTCAACTTTGAAATCTATGTTAGGGAAATCGCTTTTCACAGGTCCAATTTTCAATAGTGACATTTTGAAAAATGATAAAGTCTTAAATTTAACAGATGCATAGAGATATTTCTGATCGATTGGTGATAAAATTATTGAAATTGGTCCAGGGGCAGCTGAGTTATTAACGTTCAAAATCTTTCATGATTTTGTTACATGTTCCATTTTCCTTTTTCACAAAGTGTACCTCCATATAGAAATCACAGACGTAATCCTACGTCAAAAAATCTCAAAATGTTGTTTATTTAAAATTGCTTGAATGACGACCTGCATTTGGACGAGGCCAGCGCTGGTATTTCCTATAAAGGAAATCCGAGGTGGACCTTGCCGCCAATAGTGTTGATGATTATTAAATATTTCCCGCAGCTTAAGCCACTTTTTCTTGAGTGTGTGAACTCATACCTAACCGTGCCCTCGTCTATGAATCACCCTTCGAACGCTTTCGCGTCGTCGAGATTCGTGCTGAGATCTTTGAAACGGGGATTTTTGTTTTGAGGATTAGGGTGTGCGATTCAATTTTTAGCTTCGAATGTCGGTAATTATTTTCAACTCATGGTGGACATAAAGTCAACATGGTGAAATGACACTATCTGGCTCATTCTTATATGGCGCATATGCAATTCATTATCGCTTGTGGTACCGCGATCCCTGATCGTGAGTTGTTATCAGCATGCTCCTAAATATATGGAATTCCCCTGTTGTATAGGATTCTCGCAAACTTCACATGGTGATCAGTGTATTCAAACCATCAGTAGCAGTAAAGATGCTGAAATCAGTGCTCTTAGTTCTACTTTCCAGCTGGCTATTCCAAGCTTTACATTTAACTTCAGCAAGTGTTGTAAGCCTTGTGCTGAATCAAAATTGTATCACACCTGGTGGAAACCCCGGCCGCTGCGTTCCGGTGCGCAGCTGCAAATTTGTGTCCGGAATGCTACGCAAACAGAACTTCACAACCGCCGATCAACGATACTTGGAGAGTTTTCGTTGTGGTAAGCTGCCTGGCAGTGGCAAGGTACTGACCTGCTGCCCGCAGCTGCATAGTGAAGACAACTGTGGTCGATTGACATTGCAGGACTACATCCTGGGAGGAGAGGAAACCGAACCGGACGAGTTTCCTTGGGTGGCTATGCTTGGCTACAAGGACGATAGAGGCCGAACAATGTATGGCTGTGGAGGCACGCTGATCAACGAACGGTACGTCGTGACGGCTGCCCATTGTATCATTAATCAGCGTGTTCGAAAATTGTGAGTTTTACTATTTTCGAACAAACTAGATGGTAAATTTGAGCAAAACTGTTTCAAATTTCAGGGTTGAAGTTCGGCTTGGTGAGTGGGATATGGACACTACTAAGGATTGCACAACAACACGTTGTTTTGTGGACTATCAAGATGACTACCCCATAGAGAAAATTATCGTTCATGAGGGATACTCTTCCCGGCAACTAAACCAGGAGCATGACATAGCACTTCTTAAACTAAACACCACAGTTGAGAGAACGCATCTGGTAGATCCGATATGCATACCTTCACTTGAGATGGCCAATTCACTGAAGCTTTTAGGAAAATCCTTCGATGTATCTGGCTGGGGAAAGACCGAAAATGGTAACCTTTTAATCTCCCATCATGTTCTACAACTTCTGTCCATCTCCAAATGAATCTATCTCATTCCAAGGATTTTCAAGTCGCCGGAAAATGAAGGTGACCCTACCCGGGCAGCACATGGTCATGTGTAATGAAGCGTTTGCTGCGGCAAATGTGACCTTCACCGCCAATCAGCTCTGCGTCGGAGGATTGGGAGGAAAGGACTCCTGCAAAGGCGACTCCGGTGGACCGCTGATGGCAATTTTGGAAAACCGTTGGCACTTGGTGGGGATTGTGAGTGTCGGTGCAAAAATGTGCGGTTCGGAGGGAATGCCCGGCGTGTATACCCGGCTAGGCAGTTACCTGGATTGGATGGCGGAAAAGATCGAGCTGGAAGGACGAGTGGATTAGGATGCTAGATACTGGAGGCGAAAAGTGACTTTGAGTTTATTACGCTAATTTGGTTGTTAGCGGCTTTCGAATTCACCTTGACCTTGACAGATTCTCTTCGTCGACTTTCTCTTTGTATTCTCTCGACGATGTTAAGACATTCCCAGCTATTTTCAGCATACAAATCGATGAGAGAAGCTAATATCTAGCTTCTAATATGATAAGCACGGCAGGAAACGGTTCTGTACCAAATTTATTAACGACAGAGAAAGTCGATGAAGAGAATCGATCAATGTTACTTAGGACCTAATGCATTGTTCAGCTTGAAATGTTAATCAGTATATAGATATAAGATATTTTGTTTTTCGCTCCTCAGAACAACGAGAAAAGACTTATGATTATCCAGCATTTGATGATTTCCATTTCCCGTGTCATTGAAGATTTTTTAAGAACTTCTCTCATTGATCTCTTTAAAATTTTAATACAACTTATAAAAATAAATACGATAAAATATTAGGTTTGTTTTCTATCATTGATGACTGGATAAGTTTTTGGACAGTTGAAATATTTGTTTCAATAGTGGTTAAAATAATTGCTGCATCGTCGTTCAAAAAAATATCAAATCCCAGTTAGTTAGTTCATTAGCTAGTTTACTTTAAATTTCTTTTCCTTTGTGGTTTCTAACGCAACTCAGGATAGTATGAGAATGATTTCATTGCAACTCTCTCACGCAATTTCTTTGATTGTTTGTATCTTAAAACCAGAGATGCATTTTGCTTCAGTGTAAGAAAAGAAAAGAGTTGACAAGTTCACTGCACTACACGGCCACTGAAAATAACCCAGAGATAGAGTCACTTATCTCTGTGACTCTCTTTCTGGGTTATTCTCAGTGGCCGTGTAGAGATGATGGATTCACTGATCACTGATTCCTGTAATATGTTCGAATCAAAAGCTCCACCAGCTTCATACCCCAGACAGACTATGGCATGGCATGTAATGTAGGCTGTCTTGCAATGAGCACTCATACATCTAGTTTTCACTGGAAATCCTATATATGAGTGCTCATTGTAAGACAGCCTATATTACATGATATAAGCCATAGTCTGTACGGGGTATCAAGGCGTCTAAATTAGCACTAAAGAGCATTAAAGAGTATGTACTGTGTTACCTGCTAACTCAGGATAGGGGATCTCAGGTTCATCTACTCTTGCACTTCTACGTCAAATACGCGAATTACAAATTAACAGGAGCAGCACAGATTATAATAATCAACCACAGATATCGTTAGCATGGCAAAGAGAAGGTACCGAAAGAACTAGCACTGAATGAATGCTCAACACTCCCTAAGAAGAAATTTCAACTCGTATCACTTGAAAGGCGAGGCCTGATGGTTCCCTTGTGAACCCGATTTCAGACGGAATTAGGAAAATAGTGAAAATATGTTAACCAGGGCTGCTCTTCGACTTGCAGCATCGACTTGCCATCCAGAATCCAAGCATCGCAGACAGTTAGAGGTAAACAGTTAGGTATGAAATCATGTTGTAATAAAGTTCCACCTGTATTTGACCCTTTTTTTTCGAAAACTGATGACCGCCATCTTGGATTCCATATTGGTTGGTCAATCGTTGATTTCCAACTACTACACGCAAAGCAAAAAAAATATTACAATGAATGTTAGTTCCATTTACCATCATCCTCTGTTCATGAACATCGCAGCGAATGTTTGAAGTTTACCTTGCAGACGATGTAATAATTTTTAATCTTTTTTTTTTATTCCGTATTCTGTATATGCTTTCACCTACACACTAATTTTAGATCACTGAAATCAGTAAAATTTTACTGGGTTTTTGAATTGCGGATCGCCCAGTAATCATCACAGAAATAATTTGCATTACCGAACTGCCCGTAAAGTCAATTTGTCAAAAATAACTGTTCATTCAGTAATTGGTTCGAGTTGCGTATACTGGAAAACCCAGTTTTGTTGTTTTGTTTATTTTGCTGCAATTTAACCGACAAGACAGTTATTTGGTTCATGTTTGTACCGTGTTACCCAGTTATATAAAAAAGTTTTGTCAGAAAAAAAACTATTTAATTTCAATAATAATAAGATGGCCAGGAGGAAAATCATTTATTTCAATGTTAATTGCATTTTTTTTTTTATTATAGTTACTTTAACACTCTTGGGTCATTCGTGACTTGTCCGGGGGTGAGATTTGAACTCGTGACTTTGGCGTGAGAGGTAAGGATGTTAACCACTACGCCGGGGTCGCCCCCAATTGCATTTTATTTTTCTCATATATTTAGGATACTGATAGGAAGCACCAACAACCATAAAAAATCAATCCAAACTACAGAGAAACTTTTCGCTCGTAGTTGTTATGTTTCCCACCTCCATAAAAACTGACTTAAAGAATGCAAAGAATTGCTTGTCGCTTGATCAACAATCTACATTGAAGACAGACAACGACATGCACAACATATGAAAACATTCCAAGAAATTCCTTTTCAGAGGAATATTGACGTTCTTCCAGGAGATAATTCCATCGGTGTTGTCTTCAGGGAATTTTCCACGGACGTTAAGTGTAGGAGTTTCATGGTTCAATGTTGGTATTGGGTCATCCATCTAAATGAATTGGAAATAATTTGGTTACAAGCCATAGCTAAATCATGCACTATATGTACTTGAATCCATTCAACGATTCCAGCCAATGGATTAACGCTGGATGAGCTTTTGTCGTCATCCTGCTTCGCTTTTTTCATCTGTTTGGATTCTTCAATCGGATCATTCCCAACCCAAGTAACATAGCAGGTTTTATCGTGGTTTTATAGCATTCTACAAGTCTAAATCATGGTCTACAGAACCCTCATGAAACCAAAATTGTTACTTGGGAATGCCCGTATGGTGTCTGTGAAAATAGGCATTAGTTATCAATTCCATTGATTCTACTTCTACTACTACTACATACTTCAACGTATTCGGATAAGCCGCTAGCACTTTGTTGCACCAAATATCAAAATCTTCTTCAAGCTGCGGAGCCTGAGGGTATATTTTTTGAAAATCGATTGAAATCTAAAATAAATTAAATCAAAATTTAGTATTGGTTTTACCACCCCGTAGTGGAAACTCAAATAATTAACTCAATTAATTAACTAAAATAATTATAAATTTTTCTTATTGCCACCTAATTGTTTCGGAAAAAATCAACATAGTCTAAATTACACAACTTGTAGTCGTCTTAGTAAGAAAAATAAAAAAGTAATATAAATCCTATCAAATGGCGCAGCTACCGGAAAATCTAGCATGAAGATGTGAAATTCTTCATTCTGGTGAAATCTATCACAATTCTTCGACCCGATTCTTTGTATTTGGGCCAGGACATAGAAACTTTAGTTCTTCAACCTATAAAGCACAATTTAAACATTTAATCATTCAATATTAATGAATCAAGAATTAATTTACCAACTGTCTGATATCAGTTAAGTTATACTGAATGTCTTTATTGGAATCATTTTGATCTTCCGGCACAGGGATTGTCTTGCTGCGGATTATTTTCCTGTCCGTCGAACGAGGTACTCAAGATGGTTATGTAGACGTCCTGTATGGCGATGCTTGCCTCTTGCCTGCGGAAAAAACCACAGTGCTTGTGGAATGTTCGGTGTACTCGATCGTAAGAATAAGAATACACCAAGGAGATTGGCAGTAAATGTTTGTGAAATGCTGATGGTCGACTAGAATGTATCGAAATGTATGATTGAGGATTTTACTTTCTTTTTAAAAAGACGGTCAATATTTACATTCCATAATCCAAACGCAGATAATCACACAAAATTCGTTTGATCTGTGTGAGTAGTTTGTCGGTGGGTTTGTTGCCTTGTTTCAAGGACTTCATTACTTGAAGCCTAGTGGTAGTCCTCTTAAGGACCCTATCGATTTTAGTTTTCTAAAAGTGAAAAATAGTACATTAGACTAATACGAATCTACCTATAGGTAAGGTAGAGCAACATGCGTGACTGGACAAGATGGGTCATTTTATTGATAGTCAACATCGTCAAGCTTAACGTAGCCTTAATGCTATTTTAAAAAGCAAACCATTATTGGAGTATTGAACCTGTTGATTTTGACAATCAAATAAATTAACAAATATACTAGCTTATCCATCTGGCTTCGTGACCCATCTTGCACCGAATCACCCTATTATTTGGTCCATCATCATTGTCGTGACGGAAGATACTTACCTTCTCGAGACGAATCCCTTTGTAAGGGTTAGGTGCAGACTCGGCTACGGTATCGTCCTCATCGCTACTCAGCAGATCTTCCACGGTTTCCATCTGGTTGTTGTCTGTCTGATCATCGGATTGAGCTGATGCATGAGTTGCATCCATGGTATCATCAACACTTTCTTCAAATACAGGTGCATTACGAATTTCTGTCTGCATTCGCTGAATATACTTGATCGTCTTGGTCCTCAATCGTAAGCGCACGAAGTCCTGACCATTCAACTCCAGAACCATATCGTCGTCATCAATGCCTTCTGAGTCTGCAAACAAAGTTATGATCAATATGGTGGTCAACTACGAACCACATCATCTTATCATTGCAATGCATTCACATTTAAAAAATTATACACAGAACACATTAAGAACAGATAACCTAAATGAAGGCAGTTTTTTACCTAGATTAGACTAAAGAAGACAAACTCATATTATTTGTAAATTTTTGAACCCTAGTATGGGTAAATGTTAGTCAAATTTGATAAAACTTACTCATACAATATGGATCGTATTTACCCATATTAGGGTTCAAAATTTACACATTTTTTGTTTGTCACAATTTTTTGTTCTTGTAACTTACAAGAAGAGGTTACACAGTATGCGCTTGAAACATAAAACCTGTAAATTTTGCTTTCTATGAGTCACAATCAGCGATTTGCTGATCGTTGAGTGAGTGAGTGAGTGAGTGAAAAATCGCTGATTGTACGGATCCGAAAAATCTCTTGAGATTCTTGATATAAAACCAAGCTGACGATTAGCCTTAGTGATTACCATTGAACGGTGTAAGTCAAACGTAAGTTTAGGGTCCAGCATTACACCTAGGTCGCTTACTTGTTCTACTCTTACTAGCACAAATCCATCAATTGAGTAATCGAATACGATTGGCGTTCTTGTGCGATTAAATGTCATGACCACACATTTTGATATACTGACGGAAAGCTTGTTTAAGCGGCACCAATCAACAAATTGGTCTAACATTGCTTGGAGCTGACGGCAATCCTCGACGTTCTTGACAATTTCAATGCTATTGAAATCAAAGTGATGTGCCAATCTCCAGTTAAAATCGGTCAGGATGATCATCTGGAATTTATTCAAAGTCTTCCAGAATGTTTATGAAATCCATGTTTAAAAAAATATATAAGCCAACTTGTTAGCATTGCTAAAATCATCCAAAAGTTAAGAAAAGTATTGACACAGTGTTCCCAAAAAGTTTGAATATCAACTACGCAGCATTTCAAAATTGATTGAAATTTTTGGTAAAATACTGCATATTCTGAAGCAGCAAAGAGTCAAGCAACTTTGATGGGATGATTTTTTTAAACTTATAGTCGATTTAGTCCTTAATATTTGATGCAGTACCAGAATATGTCTTAAATTTTTTATAAGTTGACATCATACAACTCACAACACTCGGTAGATCAGTAGGAAATTTTATTTTAAACTAAAATTCTCCTGACTGAAGTGAGAATCAAAGCCTAACACCGTGGTACTCACACACAGTTTACCTAAACTACGGGTAACTCCACATGACCATTACACATAATTTCATGCCAAAGAATAATATTATTATATAACTAAAATGAAAGTCTGAAAGCGTGATTTCTGAAGTCTCAGGATCATGAAATGATTCGAAATTCTGAAATTCATATTTTTCCTGGGTCCCAGATTATGAAATTATTTGTTAGTCTGAATTTACTTCATTTACAGAGTTCAATTTTAATCATCCTAGAATTTCATCATACTTCTATTTTGGATTCCTCTTAACTAATCTTGATAATATCCAAACTTATAACATTCTAAGAGTGCTTAGCATTATCTCTTGTAATCTCTTATAACTCGCTCTCTGATTCCACAATTCCCTCAAACTGGTAATGATTTCCATTTTTTCTCTATAAAATTTCCTTAGAATATTCTGAATAATTTCCTTGGAACACTCTTCTGAATGACCGTCAAATTCTTTTCTTTTAAATTTTTTTTTTAGATCCAGATAAATCTGGCTTACTGGCAACGCTGATCGCAACGTTCGTGGTTCCAGTCTCCCAGTCGGCACTTTTTTTTTTAAATGATTAATTTCACTCACTAATACACTTCACATTTCTCTTTCTGCATTTTGTTGCATTGGACTGAGGCTCGATACATCGCATACTCTGTTCATGCGGTCTCCAATAACATCCTCTGATGATGAATCTTCTTACATCCCCCGGTTGGGTGTACTCGTCGTCCTCGATTCGAAAATATCCATATTGTAAGGTATTTGACAGTATTTCAAAAACCGATGGCTGCTATATTGTATTCCAATAAATCAATTTTCGACCTCTACACGTCATCCCCGTCCGCAAAATACCCATATTGTAGGGTATTTGACAGTATTTCTTTAACAGATGGCTGTCATCTTTGATTCTTACACCGATATCCGACCTCTACACACCTCCTCTGTTCCGGAAATACTAACATTGCATAGCAACACCTTATATGAGCAGGCTTTCAAGACATAACATATCCAGGAAGCTCGCATGCACACTAGTGCCACGTAGTGAGAGATTTCTGCACTAATATGGCCACCAACCGAAAGGACTTTGTCACCTAAACAACTTTGCTCGAGACAGCAAATTTCCATGACCATGACTTCTGCGATGATATTCTGCGATGGACCCAAATTCCATATATTATAGTGCCCGTCAGAAGTCATATGAGCGGTGTAGTTCCCAATTAAACCTGCATTAAATCAATCAGGCTTGTTGGCCTAACCCAGTACATGAACTATATCGAAAACAGTGTAGCTTTATAAATTGAAACAAATGAGATAATTCACCACAGTCCCTATTAGTAAAAATCCCATAAGCTGTGAGTATTCGCAGTTCCTTACACACGCCTCCGTTTACCCGGCAATAAGGATTCCTGACTGTAGTTCATCTAAATATCCTAGTGAGCGCTTGAGTTGATTGAAACCAGTTTCCTCCCCTTAATGTCTTCATCTTCCGATTCCTCTAGCCTAGTACACTTTGCAGTGTGACCGAATTGAAGAAACCGGTTTTGAATGTCATATTGTTATTCCGAAGGGCATTACCACAAAGCTTCTTAATGCAAATCGAATATGGTTTTTTAATGCACAAGATCTTAATTGATCTAACGAATTGTTCCTAACTCACTCGACCTTCCAGCTCGATCTTTTGCACCATCCAATCCAGGTAACTTCCTAATCGAGTACAGATGGCCGGTATTCCCTCTGAACCGCACATTTTTGCACCGACACTCACAATCCCCACCAGGTGCCAACGGTTTTCCAAAATTGCCATCAGCGGTCCACCGGAGTCGCCTTTGCAGGAATCCTTCCCTCCCAATCCTCCGACGCAGAGCTGATTGGCGGTGAAGGTCACACCAGCCTCAGCAAACGCTGCATTACACATGGTCATGTTTTGCCCGAGTAGGGTCACCTTCATTTTCCGGCGACTTGAAAATCCTTGTAATGAGATAAATTCGTTAGGAGATGGACAGAAGTTGTAGAACATGATGGGAGATTAAAATGTTACCATTTTCGGTCTTTCCCCAGCCAGATACATCGAAGGATTCTCCAACAAGCTTCAGTGAATTGGCCATCTCAAGTGTAGGTATGCATATCGGAGCTACCAGTGCCGTTCTTTCAACAGCGGTGGATAGTTTAAGAAGCGCAATGTCATGCTCTTTGTTTAGTTGCCGGGAAGAGTATCCCTCATGAACGATAATTTTCTCTATGGGGTAGTCATCTTGATAGTCCACAAAACAGCGTGTTGTTGTGCAATCCTTAGTAGTGTCCATATCCCACTCACCAAGCCGAACTTCAACCCTGAAATTTGAAAGAGTTTTGTTCCAATTGAACATCATACTCATACGTAAATGAAAATACTCACAATTTCTGAACCCGTGAATTAATGATACAATGGGCAGCCGTCACGACGTACCGTTCGTTGATCAGTGTCCCTGCACAGCCATACATTATACGGCCTGTATTGTCCTTGTAGCCAAGCATAGCCATCCAAGGAAACTCTTCCGGTTCGGTTTCCTCTCCTCCCAGGATGTTATCATGCATCGTCAATTGACCACAGTTGTCTTCACTATGTAGTCTTGGGCAGCAGGTCAGTACCTCACCACTGCCAGGCAGCTTACCACAGCGAAAACTCTCCAAGTATCGTTGATCGGCGGCTGTAAAGTCATTTTTGCGAAGAATTTCTGTTGAAAATTTGCAGCTGCGCACCGGAACGCAGCGACCGTGGTTTCCACCGGGTGTGGTACAACTTTGATTCAGCACAAGACTCGAAACACTTGCTGTAATTAATTGGTTAGCATTAAACGTTACACCAAAAATTATACCAAATTACCAATTGTGAGGAACCATGCGGAAAGCAGAACTGAGAACATGAACTTCTGCATCTTTACTGCTACTGACGCTTGCAGCACACTGATCGTTATGAGATGAATCAGGGAACCCCGTCAGTAGTATGCTGATAAGAGCCAAGTTATAAATAAAATTAATCCAAATTACTTAATAGCATGGCTCAGCTTGAATGCGCCAGTGCGTTGCGACCCATATATTGAAAAGAACGGAAATTGACAGTTTAGTTTTAGTTTAAAAATAGAGCATTCTACCATGAAGTTCAATTTAACCCAAGGTTTACTTGAATATAAAAGACCAAAAATAAATATTCGACGTGAAATCTATTGTGGCGGGTCCCGGTTCGAATTGCACATTGACGTATTTTTCCATCAATTATAGGACAATGTTTGCCTCATTGTAACATAGTACCAAAGTACAACGAAACGTACAACAGTTCGCTTTCCCCTGGAAACCCCATAATTTTCCTGTTTACCATGCTCGACAGCAAGTCTACACTTTGTAAGACCAGCCCACCGCCACCCGGACCGATGATGCTGTTTGGACCGATAGATCGACATAAACACGTCATTCCATCACGTGTTGATTGCAATTCGCACCCCTCACCGAAGCAGCGTGCCTCAATTAGAAATGCAACCATGTCAGGTGCAACGGCCCCCGTCCCATCGTCGTTTGTTGGCATAGATTTTCCCCGCGAAGAGACCACACAATTTTCATCGCCTTCATGCTCATTCAAAGTTTATCATTCGGATCGTCGGTAGCCTGTGGAGGTACTTACCTGCAATTTCTCGATCAATTTCTCTCGCCACGCACGGCATGCCGATCGAGGTTTTAATTGAATCTGTTTCCATACCTGCAACGGTGCAAAAGGTAGTCAATTAATGCTGATGATGACGATCGATCCAAGGCCATCGACTGACCGCCATAGACCACGGGAGGTTGATCGGGTGGAAAAAGTTGATTGCATTTTTTTTTTGCTGCCATGCTCTCGCTGGCAATATCCAATTTCAGGAGATATTGAGCAGAGCTGATTGGTTTCACGGGCTGCTACCTATATTATAGATCGATATTTTATTATACGCCTGATAGCAGTGAGATTTATGTTGCACACAAGTTCACACAGGTCAACAGGCAGAGATTTACGATGTTGCACCACATTGTATTCGACGCACATCGGACAGTTGTCCACAACAGTCGGTCGCTCTTCGAAGCATCGAAATACTCTCTAATTTGTTTATAATTGACTAATTGAACCGTCATCATCGTTCAACCATTCAGCCGCAGCTAAACGGACAATGTTACAAATTTGCACATGCAGACAATTAACACGAGAGCAAACAACTCGCATCATGTATGAACAACCCGCGTACTCGCCGTCTTCGTCAAACCTCGTCCCTCATCTCGAGTGAGATGACCAACCAAGCGAGCGAATTCGGTGTCCAGCAGCAGCGTTTCAATTAGAAGCAATTATTGGTTATTATCTGCGTTGGCAAACAATTAATAACGGTACCGAACCGGACTGAACCCATTTCTATTCGTTGTTTCGAGGTACCCCCCCCCCCCACCCATGCAGAAAGTGGTCATTTGCAAATCACGAGCAACTGGCGACCAGTATGGATGCACTTTTGCAAACGGCCCATTAGTTGCGACCGAAAATGGGCACGACGCGAAAAGGTTCCAACCCATTTGCATACATTGACGTGAATTGGAACATAATGCGGTGGACATTTATAATAGAATAATACACTGTCAGTAGCAAATATAATTTTATCCCGATCAATTGTTTATCACTGTGCCTCCAATTTTCCAATTAGTAAACATTGGAAATTACCTTCAATTGTCACTGATACGCAAATTTGCATCACTAGTCCATAATAAAAATTATATTTGAATTGAGTCCACCCCACGTTAGCCATAACCTTCAAGACCTGAATTTATCCACCTACACTGAAACAAATCAGCATGTAAGGTTTATTGGATCTGTCTTATAACATAGCTATGTCAGAAGGTTTATTAATTTTATGTGATGATTGATAGATTCCATTGGATTATCAGTTAAAAACTTCAACTGCGACATACATACTTAGTGCATGGCATTTATTTGCTTTGAATGTTGTTAGCGATGGATAAGATGTATATTAGAGTGTTTCAGCGTCATATGAAAAAAAAAGTCAAAGTCCTGCGCTTTGATCGCGGCACATTTCGAGTATGAGAGAGTGATTGCAGGTAGATCAAAAGTGCCTGAGAAAAATGCAAGTACTTTCGCGTATTACTCGAAGGTCCGATAGTGAAGATATAATCACAAACATGCAGACATAACACTCTCAACATGTTCATTGAAATAGCTTTTAACGCTTTATTTTTATAGCTTATATGTGTTTATTTATTCCCTGAGAGTTTCTAAATATCCGACTTAAAATGAATTTTTGGTGATCATTTTTGTCTGTTGCATTTTTTTAGAGTACAATCTTTAATTTATATCTGCAACCAGTTCGTTTTTGTTTGCTAACCTGGTTAAAAAGTCACATTTAATTATCTTAAAGATAAATCGTCCAGCCCAAACCTTGGTAGGGGTAAGAGGTGGGACTATCATCATTATTACATTCCGAGAGGAGATCGGTGTACCGCAGGGGTCAGTCATCGCCCTTACCCTATTCTTGATTAGGATGAAAAGCGTTTTTAACAACCTTCTCAAGGAAATCTACATCTTTCTTTACGCCGACGATATCGTTATACTGATCATCTGCAAAACGGTCAAGGCACTTCGGAGAAAGATGGCGTCAGCAATATAAGCGGTATCATAGACGAGTGCACGGATGGATTTGAGTTCATTCACTCGACAAAAAGTGACACAACAGCGGGGCCCTGTTTACTAAAAATGAACACATGAATAATCACGTAGCATTTGAAACGGGTCCATTAACTTATGTACACCAAACTTGTTAAGCCTTTTTCACGCGAACCGAATACGCTCACGCAAAACTAACAACACCATCGGGCAGAGGAAATTCTCCCCTTCCCGATAGTGCTCTTGGTTTCCGTGGGCGTACTTCGGTTCTCGTGAAAAGGACCTAGCAAATTATTTACAAAAGTTGATAGGCCCTTTTCAAAGGCTACGCGAGCATTATTCATGTGTGCATTTTTAGTAAACAGGGCCCCGCTGTTGTGTCAAAAAAATTTCAGTAGATGAACTAAAGTTCACCCGTGCACAGGTCGTCATCGGCCGGATTTCAACTCACGGCGGAAAAGTGCACGCTGGTACATATCTGCTTTCATCGTCGCCGTCCGCTCAGCACTCCGATATGCATCCACGGGACCGGCAACTGTCTTTATCTCCCCGCTTCGACGAGATTAAAGACGCCTGTAAGAAGCGCCTAAACCTCTTCCGATCCATTGCGAGACAACACCCCAGACTGTAACCGATCCATTCGGCTTCGCGGCGCTAGAACTATTCTGGAATCACGTCTGCTTCACGGGATGGAAATCACCTGCCTAGCCCGTGATCAACTCGCCACCAAACTAGCCTCCACGTACCATCAAGCAATACGTATCTCCTCTGGTCTCCTACCAGCCACAACCGGAACCACAGCTTGCACAGAAAGTGGAGTACTACCGTTTGACCGACTAATTATTCAGACTATCTGCAACCGATCGATCAGCTTCGAGCAGAAGACATAGGGCTTAGATGAGAGAGCATTCCTCCTCACCGAGGCTAAACAGCTTTTCTCATTCAAAGTGTTTTTATGTTACTTCATACGCGAAGTTAGCGATTTTCAGAGTTGGTTGGAAATACTAACATGAAGCTTTAGTGTGATTATTTATTAGCTAGAGAATGATCTTTAGAAGAGAGCAGGTGGATAGTTCCGTTAAGTGGACCCTACACGACAGTTTGTATTGACAATAAACGTATTGTCAATACATTTTATATTGACGTCAATACATCGGTATTGACAATATTTCTGTATTCACATCATCAATATTATTGTCAATACTTGTAAGTATTGACAATATTTCTTACCGTGTGGGGTTCGCTTTAGAGTACGGCAGTATGAAAATTGAATAGAAGTTGAAAATGAGCGAAGGGCCACTTTGAATAACGAGAATGAGTTAATGCCTTTTTGACTTGACTTAAGTGATCTATATTTCTTGAATTTGTGTGGTTTACATGTATAACTTATCAAGTGACACAGATGCGTCTTTTCAACTTTAGTTCCTGTGAAATTTCAATTATTATTAATTACAGTTCCTAGTCCTATCAGGCCTGTTTTAGAGAATGACCACCTTGGTGGGATTGGTTTGTTTTAAAATTTAAAAAAGGAGACTACTTATAACTACTATTTACAACTATAACTAACCTACAACTACTATATACACCTAATCTACTATATACAAATTGCTTATCAAAGCATGTTCTGATAAATTACATTTTTGTGCAAATTTAGTCTTAATTTCGTTAATTCTGGAATCTATTTTGGCAATGCCTGCATCTTCGTGTAAATTTGTTATTCTAGTGTCAAAAGGACGATCAAGTACCATCCTCAGCACTCTATTCTGAGCGACCTGGATTTTGTTCCTGTGAGTCTGTGCACATGATTCCCACACCGGAGCTGCGTAGAGGATCGCAGGTGCTATGATTTGTTTGTAGACGGCCAGTTTGTTCACCCTTGAGAGGCGGGATCTGCGGCAAATCAGCGGATACAGACACCTAACCAAGGCAGAACACTTAACTACAGTTTTCTCTACATGCGCACGGAAGAGGAGCTTTTCATCAAACAACATCCCGAGATAGGTTACTTCGGCAGACCACTCAACCCTTGTGCCATTCATGATTACAGTACAAGATGGAGCCGGTTTCAGTTTGGGCGATTGCCGATGGAGGAACATGATCGCTTGTGTTTTGGAGGGATTGATTTTAATTTTCCACGTGGTGGCATAATCAGCAAAGGCGTTAAGGCATCGTTGAAGTTTGTTCGTTATTTCGCGAGGCATCCTTCCTTTGAAGGCTATTGCGGTATCATCTGCGAACAGGAAAAACACACAACCGTCACCGAGGGGAGGAATGTCGG